CATCTGGTCCAACCCATATGAGACTAGGCTCGAAGGAAAGCTGTCTCGGGTGTGGACCAATCAACTTCAAGGACAGTGCACATTATCAGAGTTATGTCTTTTGTTTGTATTTATGACTGCAGGTATTGCGGTCTATGCAAACATGACTCCTTGCAAAAAGGTGTCAGTTTTGTTGCCAGATAGAAGGGTAAAGAACCAATTATCATATTTTTACTGGCAAATGAGGTCCCCATAAAATATCTGGCTGTAAAGAGTACAACAAACCCTTTTGCACCTTCTAGCACAACATGGTGAATTCAATCAGCAGATTAACATATTTCTTTATTAAATAAACCATTCAGTTTATGTAATAGGAAGTCGTAAGTTCGATCCCAACCCTGTTCTCCCAGTGGTCGCATGGGTTTTTTCTCTGGACCCTCCGTTTTTTCCCTCCACAATTAGAATCAAAATGCGTTTAGAGTATTTGGCTGCTATAAATGTCCACGTGATGATAATCCACTTCGTTCAGCTGCTATCATTTGTGGCCAGGTCGCTTCTAAAAAAGAGATGCATACCTCAGAGGGCCTTACCTGGTAAAATAAACATATTTTAAATAAAGTCACGTAGAAGGGAAATAATAAAATAATAAAAATAAAACATAATAAAATAATTCTCACGACGTTTCGGCCACAACGCAAGCAGCCGTCCTCAGGTGAAGAACAGGTCTGTCGGGAAGACGCTGCCTTGCTTGCGTTGTGGCCGAAACGTCGTGAGAATAATTTTATTATGTTTTATTTTTATTATTTAATTATTTCCCTTCTACGTTACTTTACCGAAAGAACCAAGAAGATGAATCCCTGCAGTCACGAAAGCTTTAAATTGAAAAATATTTTAAATAGTTAAGTTTATTTTACTTTACAGATTCTGGTACAGGCTTTTTGCGAGTACTAAGTATGCAGAAGGTCCTGGTATGGGAATGTGCAATTTTCACCACTGGCTGAGGGCTGCCGGAACAGAGATAAACAGTGCCCATCACTAATCACTTTAGCGAGAAGACCCTGTGACTTGTGAAAGATCGCATGCACACTTTGAAAGTGGACTTCCAGACCGCACTTGCACATGTTTATCAATTAGAAAGCACACTGCGAAATTGTGTGGTGAGATACAGCCACAACTCGGAAAAGGAACGGAGCGTTAAAATAATGATACTTACATTTATATTGTGCCCATACTATATATGTAAAAAAAATGTCCCAGTGCACATTTTATATAGCCCAGGACACCCCCTAATGGCAACTCGTCCCTGTGCGACACAAGGGGAGCACAGCAAGCGAGCATTCGTCTGCCAGTATGGGGTGATGCTCCTATTGGTTATTCCAACGAAGTAATTATTCAACTTTAGGCTATGATGCCGGCACAAGTGGACAATTTTTTTTTTTGAACAATGTTAGGGGATCTTTTTAACGTCCACTGTGAAGCTGACGGTGCATATTTATTTGATAGTAATTACACCCGCAGTATTAACTGGGGCGGCCAGGACCTTTTAACCATGAACCGCCGCAACAAATGCCAAACGCACTACTGCTTGGTCAAGGCACTGGAGGAATAGTTTGTCTTATAAAGGATAATTTTGGGTTGAATAGAAACAGCGAAGAAAATTGACGCATCAGCATGGACTCAATAGCGCTTTTCCAACGTGCGTTTGTCCTCGGAAGTTGAAACAATTATAATTAAAGAATGCATATTACCTGCTATGACGTATTAATCGGAATCGACAATAATGAAGAAAATTCAATACTAACTAAAATGTGTATAAAAAAAACATGGAGAGATGCACGCTTGGAATTATATTGAGATGGGAAGGGGAACACATGGTTGAGAAAACATACCCATGACAAAGACGTAGTCACGTACCGTAACGTAGCTGGAAGGGATGACGGCTGTTGTTCAGGATTAATGAGTGGCAGTCAAGGAAGGAAACGCGTCCAAGTGATGTGGATTATACATTTAAAAAAATCTCCCACAAATTACTCAATTGCAATATTCATAGCAAACAGTCACGTAACATACTGCAAATACTTGGCAGGACCCTCCTGAAAGAGTCTAAAGACTCGGCGAGGCTTTCCTGGATAAACAAGTGTAATGATGCATCATCGTTACATCGCAAGGGCATTGGAGGGTGGGCAGCTTGACGAGGCCTTAATCCAGCAGTGGATTGATCACGGCTGACGATGATGATGATGATGAAAGCTTCCGAGCCGGAAAACAAAGATGACATGACGCGCACGTGCTGTGGCGAGATAACGTCTTTGTCATCGGGATGTGAGTGATGTAATCGGCATAGAAGAATAAGAAAAAAACATCGTGAGCGAAATAGCCCTCCTTTAACATCCTTCTGTGCCTCGCTTCAAGCTCACACCTTCTCTGTTGCCCATTGGGAGGCCCATTGAACAATTTGCCCCTGTATTACGCGCGGTGAATCTCTTATAGCAGCACACATTAATACTAAGATTGCGTTCAAATAGGATGATTTAAAGTTATCGTGCATGCGCGCTCCAACTCCCACGTTAGCCGTGGTCGGGAATTAAACCTGTTGCGAGGTACAGAGCAATGCTGAACCAGAGTTCTTATATGACCCGATTTTGCACGAAACACAAATAAATACGTAGAAGCAGATTGTCACTTTAAACCATTAAACTATTCAACGACAGGAAATCCTGTATTCGCGAAGTGTACGACTTCCCTATTCGCGACCCACCGGACTCACAGTATTCGGGAGCGTACGAAGTTGTGCCAGACCGTAGAGTTTTTACACTTGAAACTGTCTGCGAAGATTACGCACGCGTAGTCCCCAAATCACGCAGTAATCCCGCTCTGAACTCGCTATTGTGCACTTGTACTTCCGTGCGTACTTGGAGCGGACTCGTTCGTTTTGGTTACAAAGGCGTCGACTGTGAGATCCATTGAAAAGAACGCGAATGCAATCGGGGAAAGTGTTGCGGCTCGTGCTCCCCAGACTGCTAAAATTTATAACTGCGCGTTGTTGTTGTTGTTGTCATCCTGCTGAATTCATCACCACCACCTCCGTCAAATCATCATCTGTAATGAAACAAAATATTGATATTTATAATGTATTATTTATTTTTTGTAATAATTGTTATTAAACATTTACAATTCCCCCCCCCCCCTATGTTCACTCGTACCAGGAAGGTAACCCAATTTTCCCCATTGGAACAAGGTTTATGCATTCGCGAGAACATGCAAACCCCAAATAAACAGGCGTCAGGGTCAGGATTGAACTCACGGCCCCTGTATACCAGGCGAGAAGAGCGTTAACATCACGTCACCGTGGCGAATGCACAGCAAGCACAACCAGTAAGCATAATCAGTAAAAAGATACGGTAAGCAAGTTCCAAACATGTCATGAAGGTGAGGGGTGGATTTCGATTGCCGAATCAACATAAGCCAATGAAATGATGCAGGTTTAATTGCAGACAGTATAAAAGGACGACCTTTGACTGTCAATAATTCTGACTGCAGGAATTCATATCCTTTGGCTCTTTCGGTAAAGTCACGTAGATAGACAAGTAATAAAAAGAAAAAGAATAAAAAGAAAAACCACGTTTCGATCGCAACATAAGCGTTCGTCCTTTTCCTGATGACGACCGCTTGTGTTGCGATCGAAACGTCGTGGCTTTTATTAAGATTATTTTTATTCACTTTATTTTTATTACTATTTTTCTATCTACGTCACTTTACTGAAAGAACCAAAGAATATCAATAAGTCTGTCCATTTAGATTAGTGGAAGCAATTTCAGAAACCAATATAAATTAAATACGTGGTTTAAGTCACGCACACTAAGTTTTACGATCTTTAATAGGGAATGTTGGTGTATAACTGTTATCACTGTACAAGAGCATCAATGTGCAAGAATCAATGGGTATTAAAAGCGAAATAAAATAACCGATACATACATTTGAGTGCGCAGGATAGATTTCTCACTATTTTTCTCCACCCGTCACAAATGTTTCACAGAACCCGTGACGCAAAAACACTCTTGAACAAGAGGCGATCGGACAACCCCAATGCGGCACTTTGCTGAAAATGGAGTTGAGGTTCTGCGATTCCTTCCTGGATGAAGGCCACCGCTACATGTAACGACTTGTACCATATACAGTATAACACTTTCACTCGCATATAGCCAAATGTAGCGATTGAAAAGGAGACCGTCTATACTCTATACTAATAGAAAGCTCCTTGTCAATCGACTGCTCAATGAAAGGCATTTCCACATCCGTGTCTATCATGGAGAATGTCCAACCATACTTCACCGTTCTGGTCAATGCGTATTGAAGGGGGCACACTCAGCACCGGTTCAGATCTCAGTCGTCAGCGACGTACGCTGTCCCCGGGAACGAAACTTCTGTCACCGGGTTTATAGCACATGCTAATCACTGCGCCACCACTCTAAATAAAATAAGCGCCTGTTTAATTACACACCTTTTGGAAAGGCTTGCAACTAGCTTGTGAACACCAATAAGCGATTCAAATACCAATGTCACCAAATCAAAACACGCACTATTAAGTGCAGTTATATCTAATCGAATTTTATATTTATATAAGAGCGCCTTCCTTCAAGGCGCTTAGCTTAGTTAAAAAAAATGTGCCAATATGATTTATATGGCAGGTGCGTGCAAGGGTTGTGGAATGAGTGACCGCGAGAGGGTATTTATGGATCACGAAAGGGAGTGATGGGAAGGAGTGGAGGGAAGAGAATGCGCAAGAGAAGATGCGAGCTTTAAGAGAGGAACAGGTGGTTAAGGAGGGTGACTTCTTAATGTACAAGGCAAGTTCATTCCAGTGGAGGGGGTGCAAGGAGAGAGGACCAAAAACGGGATTGGGCACAGGGAGGAAGGACGGAGGTCCAGAGAAGATTGCAAAGCAGCATTGTTCACCTTTTCAACTGGAAACACTTGCAATTGAAGAGCGCAAATGGAAAACTAAAGCACAAACCGCAAACTTTAAGTATGTCAGACATTTATTTCCATGTGCTGCAGGAGAAAGGTCAGGTATTTGGCACTTTATTTACATACATGTCTTTCCAATACGCAGACTAAGAACATTGCATGCTTAAGTGTATGTAGTTCAAGTGCATTTTTAAGCATGTATGGCATTCATAATCATTTACTTTCAACGTTAAATCGGCATGCACACTGATGCTGAAATGTGCACACAAACACCTTGTGGAGATGGGATATTCATTGAGGGCCAGAAAATAAGGAACACATGAATCGCAGAACAAAAGAAAATTAGCGACATCATTTTGACTTAAGGTAAAAAGGCTTGGGTAGGGCGCAACGCTAGAAGGGATGATGTCCGATGGATGACACTGGTAGTTGAACGGCAGTAAGATGAGAAAACAAGCCTTAGAGGATCACCACCACGAAGCTGGGGCGATAAGATCCGTTTACTGTATGTGTAGATGAATTGCGGTATTGTAGGACTGTGGGAAGGGGGGGGATGGCGAGGAAATGGATAGGCCTTCATACAGTAGTGGAGAGTACATGGTTTATGATGAACATGATCATAAAATAGTGCACACCTTATTTTGTCGCACGTAAACAAGACTATCGAACACCAATTAGCACGGTTGGCTATGTATGGTGCGAAAGAAGTTCAACATACATACATAATTTATTCCGCAACGTAAACTTCAAACGTTATGCCTATACACATAGGATATTTTGTGTACCGTTACAGTTAAATGGTTTCCTTCCATTTCAGCGACGATGGCAGTATAAATAAAATGCAAAGGGAGCCTCCAATAAACATTGGGATCAATTTGCCTTAATGTGTCTCTCAGATGAGGGTTTGATATATGTTTTCAAGACCGTGGACAACTGGGAATACAAACAATGAAGACACCATTCGAAGCACATTCCATATGACTAAAGAAATTTGTCAACAAATGAAAGACAATGGGCACATAATGCTGATACCACCTTGCACGCATGTTTTGCAGTAACCATTCAACAGTGCCTCAGTGATGAAATCAAGGGCACACATTCAGATATTTGGATTGCTCGCTCCCATCCCTTGGCACTCGATGATGTAAGCATCAGCATTGGGCAGCTGACTCTCGGTCTTGCTCACTGTAAACCTGGCCTAAAGGGACATTAAAATGGAAAAACCAAACCACGATTCACAAGATGATTTCAAAACAGCTTGAACAGACAACTATTTTCATACAGCTTCAACTCATCGTCTGTTTCTCTTACCTTTTTGGTTCATAAGCATGCCATATTCTATTACTGGCAATTGTATTTAAATTGTATTTCAATTGGCATTAATAAACAGTTGCTGTGTTCATGGTCAAAGAAACCCAAGCCTTTGAATATGTAAACATTTCAATGTAGAGAGCGATGAGCCTTTGGTAACATAATTTATTTTCTTGTTAAATGCCGCGGTTTTTAAAATGGTGAAGAAAAAATGCTACTTTTGGCAAGATGACATAACCAAGATGGAAACATTAACTAACATGGACGCCCGCTCCATTGGTAGCGAATATTTGCCATCTTGACACAATCTGACACGTCCACCTAATGGTCAGCAAGGAAGTTCCTGAGACCATTTGCTCCTTGTTTACGTTGAGCTTCTGGGCTAACAGGTCATTCAATAGCAAAGCACTCTGGGGCCCTCTGCCCACTGAACGCACCCCAGGAAGAAAGTATTTCTACCCATTGCTAAGTGCCACAATTGGCGTCGAGCACCAGAGTGCTTGTTTGAGGGGAAAATCACTAACGCTTTAAAATGATGACATCCAACAGTGAAGGACATTCACCTATCTTCTTGGTTCTTTCGGTAAAGTCACGTAGAAGGGAAATAATAAAATAATCAAAATACAAAATTACAAAATACAATTCTCACAACGTTTCGGCCACAACGCAAGCAGCCGTCCTCAGGTGAAGAACAGGGCTCTCGGACGCTGTCTTTCCGACAGCCCTGTTCTTCACCTGAGGACGGCTGCTTGCGTTGTGGCCGAAATGTCATGAGAATTGTATTTTATTAGGTAAAATTTTTATTATTTTATTATTTCCCTTCTACGTGACTTTACCGAAAGAACCAAGAAGATTAATCCCTGCAGTCACGAAAGCTTTAAATCGAGACATTCACCTACCGGGGTCATCGCCTCTGAAAAGTGGATGGCTGTCTGTGTGTGCAAGGTGATGGGTCCAGTCAGCACTCGGGATGTTCCTTTTGCAAGCGCCATGAAAATTATTATCTGTTGACAAATGAAAACATGACTTGGAGTTTGGGTTACACCGTAAAGCACAAACTTAGTCGAACATTAGCCAGGCAGATTTAAGCTAATGTACATATGAACCTTATGGCGGGACCCCGGGGTCCCATAAGCCCCTGGCTCCCGCATAAACTGTGTTGCGACGTCATTTCATGTCTGTTAAAGGCGAATGATACGGCAATCTATTTCGCTCGAGGAGCCCTACACGATGCGCTAATCAAAGTTTTGTTTGTTTTGTGCATTTGTCCTCGCTGCGCTTGGACGACATGACAACAGAATGATCCGCGCCAGGTGGGTCGTGGTGGTTATGTGCGCGGTGGGATAGAGTTGCCAAAATAAATTAATTACGATTTTGACTTCCGTTTATTTGGGACCCCGGGGTTCCGCCATAAGGTTCCTATGATGTGTTTGACCAAGAAGGACCAATTCCACGTTAAATATATTGCATACTCGCCTTTTGCCCGTCCAAGGATGGGTGTATTGCAGTAAATCTGAAACTTGCAAGCGAAAAGCAGACCGCGAAAAGCAGACCGCGACGTGATATTCATTGCATTCATTCGTGTACAATTTGTAAGGGCGCGGTGACACAGACTTATTTAATTTTAAGGTTATAATCCCTTGTTCATCATTACGCCATTTTTACTTTGATGTCTCAATAGCGTTACGGAGATCGCGTGACGTGAGAGTTCTGCCTTTGCAGCTCAAAGTCGACTGGCTCAATATCCCAGGAGAACTATTCCCAAAGGGCCGGTCAGACTTGGTAACGTTCACTCACATATACACCAGCGGATGCACAAATGCTTCTTCATGTATTTTAAATTAACCAGTTGGTTTGTTTAGCCCATTCAGTAAGACATCGCGCTCAGGACAGACAGCAACATGAATGCGATCCTACAAAGTATTTCACACAATGTCTACAAGGCCCATTCGTGGCAGTGTAAAAAGTCACATCCTTAAATGCCTGGTCCTAATAATGAGGATTAAACCTACAAATGTTTACATTACTTTGCATACATCAATATTTAATGTTAATATTGCACAAACAATGGTAAACATAAATTGCTAAATAAGTAATACAAACTGTTCATAATTCAAGCACCTAGCAAAAGATTTCGGCCTCATTGTTCTGGCATGCAGAGGCCTTCATCCAGCACATTATTGAAAAAGAGCTGTAAATTATTATTTTAGTACCAATGTGACTCGCACCCAACAATAGTGTCCAATGATGCTTAAAGAATAAAATATAGACAACAACCTCAAATGTGTTTTTTTTACCAAAAACAACAGGCAGCTAAGCACTGAAAATACTGAAACAAATCAGAATGACCACGTGCGTCAATGTCCCAATAAATTGATTGCATCCGGCTTTTGTGAGCATTGTCATTTGGATTGTTTTCAGGAAGGGCTGTCAAGGGTCTGAATATGTCCTCCAAAATGTTGTTTTTAAAACTTGGGCCCGGCTACTGTTGTGGTTATGACCTCTGCGAAATGAAAAATTAGCGACAAAGCTGGGGGGGCCACACGTGGACTCACCGCTCAACCTCCTGCTGCTGTGCGGCCCGGTTCCTAACAGGCCACGGACCGATACTGGTCCGTGGCCCAGGGGTTGGGGACCCCTGCTCTAGAGGGTATTCTGACCAACTCCACCAAATCGGCCAGACTTTTTGGCAGAGGATTTCATCAAAACAAAGCCTAAAAGTTAAACTAAAATACCTTAAAATTAAATTCTACACAATTGCCGTCTATACACTGCAGAGAAAGATTATGCATTTTAAATCCTGTTCGATGCTTGTAGTTTTGTCATCGTGATCAGCCTTAGTCACAGCTGGATAAACGGCTCTCCAAGCTGCCATCATCATTCACAATTCTGTGATAAAGTAATCTTGTATTCTTAAACAGCTATCCAGGTTTCCCTTGCTTATTGCGGGATAAGTTTGTGCTATTTCGCCTATATGCGGCTAACCTATTTCGACCGAAAATGTGTAGAATTCGGTTTGAAATCGCTCGTATGTGGCTATGCGATTCGGACGTGGGACATGTTTACTGTACGCATCTCCCGCGTAAAGTGAGAGAAACCATTATTTTAAACGTCATATGAACAGAGTAAGGAGCGACCTGGTCCTGCAGATGTTCGTCCACACAGCCTCCATGCCGGATATTGCCGAGGAGCATTTCGGCAGCATTTGTGCCGAGTTGTTCAGGAGTCACGCCTGAAAAGAACAATAACATGCAAATAAAACATTACATCTCAAAAATACACTGACATTTAATCAGAATATTTATGAATACTGAAGGAATACGAAGAGCTATAAAGCAGAGAATAGGTTTTCCCCCTGTTTTCTGGCAACAAAACAGGTGTTAAGATATTAAAACAGCAAACTGAAACCTTTTTACAAGGAATCATGTCTGCATTAACCACAATGCTTGTGGTCAGAATGCAAACAAAAAAACACTGATAAGATACGCATTGTCCTTGAAACTGATTGGTCCACACCAGAGAGAGCTTTTTTTTTAGCCTCGTCTCAAACGGTACAACAACAATACAACACCACGACATTAGTGCAAAGTACAAGAAATGTAAACAAATCACTCGAATCTGGCTGTCGCCTGATGAAGCTAGTTGTAATTACTGGCGAAACGTCGCACTCAGATTGTAAATGTTGTGGCTTGGCTCTCCAACACACCGGTGTGCTGTACTAGTGACGAATTGGCATGACAACCCTTAACAGTTGGCCGTGTCGGGTGGCGACGGGTTTTAACGACACATTTATATATTTACGCGATCTAACCCAAAAAAGCCTCTATTATAAATCATTCGAACGTACAAATAAAACGTAACCATTGTCATCCTACCAGGCAAAGCCCAAGGAGGTATTAAGTTTTTTTTCCACAAGCGCACTGGCCAAAAATGACAGCTCAACACAGTGGCTTAACATTCGGAAATGTATAGCAGCAAAATAATACAAATGTTAAACAAATGTAATAAGGGAATACACCTGTGATTTTGCAATTCATTTATGCATATAAAGCTGAGGGGAAAAACTGATCGACATAACATAAAAAAATTAGAACAGAAAAAAAATCACAGAAATGTGTCGTTAAGCTAATTTGTATTTAAACAGTTAATTGAACAAAGTTGTGCATTAACAAAATATAAGAATACCTTACGCATCAATATTTGGCACATATAATTTATTTCGCACAGATTAAACGGAATGTTTGCAAAAATGTAACTTCACTAAAGCCAACAAGGGAGACTGCTTCAGTGGTTTGGAAAATACTCGAGGCAGACCTAAGGGAGCAGAGGAAATGTGACAACAAGACAAGTTGTACAAATGCATGAAAGCCGAAAGGAATAAAAAATAACACGCTTTCTTGGCCTGCGAAACGGTAAAAGACAGGGCCCTGGAACTGCTTGCTCATGCCACTGCTGGCGAAACGACTGCCACAAGAGGAAGCTCTGCAGGATATATTGGCCCATTCTTCTATGCTGCCCATGAACTTTGGAAGCGGCAATACCCAAACATTAAACCCCATCACAAGTGACCAGCCGCGACTGCAGTTTATCCATTTATACTGATGGGTGGACAGAGGTGGGGGGGGGGATTTAATAAACCTGGCCATTGTTTCAACTGCTGATGGTGAGCTTTGGATTGCAAGTCCAGTGTGCCAACTGTTACACTATCCAGTGGGTCTTGAATGAGGAAGATTCTTAGTTTTCACATTACCTCGCCTTCCAAGTGCATCACCTGCGAAGATGCAACCAGTGCTCGTCTCTGCAAAAACGCTACAAAAGTAAAAAATACAAATCTAAAATCATTACATGGCATTTCACAATCATGCACAAAACTTAACATGCACTATGGCCACTTAATATATCTGCTTATGAATATTTTTAAATTGTGCATTTTTTTTATTATCACCCATTTCGGTAAAATATAGCTTCACATACCGAAGACGTGTTTATTGTAACATTTTAAAGATGGATTTTTACTTTTCAGAAAATACCTCTCATTAAATAGGCTGCCAGATAATAAAGCAGCAGTGAATGTTGATGAGTAAATATATAATAATATTATCCATCAGAATTTACAGCCCTTCATCAATCCTTTCCTCAATGAAAGCCTCCCACACATGGTGGTTGTTTGACCATACCTCAACACACTGGTCATTGCTGGTTGGTGAAAGAGTTGCACCCAGAACCAGTTTAGATATCAATTGCCACTTATGTGAGCCATGGCCAGGAATCGAACTTGAGTGGTCCAGTCCATAGTGCAGTGCACTAACCACTGTGTCCTCACTCTACCCCCATATAACTGAATAAAGTACACCAATTTACAACTCAATCCATTAGAATGTTCTACGTAATGCATGTCTGTACAAGAATGACTTCTCACCCACTGTAGCGTTAATCTCCAGATTATCAGAATTCCCCTCTGAGCAATAAATAAGGGAGGGTTCTGAACGGATGTCGGTTTGCGTGACGGTGTTTGTGAGTGTGCTGAGCAACGACTCACATGATGCCATTTCCATTGCTGAAAGCACCCTCCCTGGGCTCCTGCACAGCGCTAATGTTAACGCTGATGTCACGGAACTCCTGCTTGAGCTTCCGCAAAGCAGTTGCTGCGGCGTCCTTTGCCATCTAAAATGTAGATGTACGTAGTGTTTAAATGTATGTCAAGATGCTGTACAGAAACAATGGGCGTATTTATTTCATGGAGGGAGGCCACCAAGTGTCGGCAGAGGGAAAAATTAATCCCCTTAAAAACAAAGTTTTTCACTATAAATCCTTTATATGCATGGCGGCTAGAGTCCTCTCGTCCTCTGGCTTGATATGGCTGCCACCTATGGGTCAGATGATTGCCTGCCACCATTAAGCAATTGGAAATTAAATATCATTTTTTTTTCCTAAAAACTGTAAAATTTTGGAAAAAAATTTTCACGAAAATTAATTGTCACGCACAAAGAGTCTGTGTGGAAAATGTCAGCTTGATTGGATCACGGGAAGTGGGTTAAAAAACTACCGAAAGATTTGCACGGTCGTAAGCGCGCAAGCAAGCAAGTGAACTTAATATAAAGGATTTAAAAAGGAAGCTCTTCAGCTGGGACTTGGGTATGGGTAGGCAGTCGACAGCACGGATGGCTGGGGGGAGTTTCAGACGATGGGGGTAGCAGGAAAATGAGTGACCTTCGAACTGACCGAAAGATGATTGAATAAATGACACGTAAGGCATAAACGCATATTCACCAAACTCTTAAGCAGACATGACATAAAATGTATAAAAATACTTCATTTAAACAGACATCATTTTTAACTAGCAACTTGTGATTATAGAGGTTGTATTGCTTTATTATAATTATCATCTTCGGAATGTACATATGATGCATATAAATTATACTATACGTATCTTTGAACAGCGCGCTTGCCACCAAGTCATTGTTAGAGTTTTCAGTCTTCAAAGTTGCAAACTGAAAACTACTGCTTTCATATGGAAAAGGGAAATTAGCAACATTATATGTGGCTTAAATATAAAGTTGCTCCATTCTCCTTGCCAGATGAGAAAAGTAGTAGATTTCAGTTTGTAAATTGTGCAGCCAAACATTCATGTGACAGGTTGCGACAACACCAACAGAGAGCATTGCTGTTGTAGCAATAACAGCAATGGTATCCGTTTCGAATTTTGCTCAAAATATCCTATGGCATTATGAACAGGAAAAGACCATCAAGAGACCATGTCAAAGCCAAAGGCAAAAATGTAAAAAATTACCAAACCATAAAAGTTATTGTAATTGTGGTTCCTTCCTGTGGAGCCGAATACTCATTGTATAAACACACAGAGGATGATTTATGTGTTAGAGGAAAGGGAATTCCTGCTTGCCATTTGGAAGACAAATGACCAATATGACTCAATGTTCCGCCACTTTGTTGTCTTTCTGCTGATGTATATCAAATATAACACGTACATTTGGCCCACAAACTCATCAGGTTGTCATCTGGTTAAAACTCAAGGCAATTAAATGTGCGTGGACTCGATCTGGGCGATGTTCACGATTCCTATCCAACATATCCTTACCTATGGTAATTTGTGGCAAATTTGGCTACGCGACGATCGGTGAGAGAATAAGCCGTAGGAAGTCTCACCTTGATGGGAAGAACACCGGCGACGTAGGCCCTCCCGTATATCTTTGTGATGTCGCCTCGCTCAGTCACTGTGATGGGTTCTAGGCTCCGAACTGGAGCTGTGCTCAAAACCAACTCCCCGCCTCCTTTGGGCTCGTAACCCCTGCAGTGACGTACCAAAGCCAGTTTACTATGCAACCTTCAAACTAAACATTGGAAACAATGTCGAAATAAATTTAAACATATTTTTCCCCACAAACTTTTTCTTACAGAATAAATATTTTATTTTATCACCAAAGAACAGTGCACAAAAAAATATATGTTGTACAATACAATGCTTCAACATACATGTTCCCCACTTTCACAAACCTGAACTGAATGGCATCGTGAAGTGTGTTCATATAAACCAAAAATAAGCCCCCACAACAACAGTGTGAGGAAGCCCTCCTCGAGCAGTTCATTGATAAAAAGGTACTTAACGCTAAAAGTGTTGACACACAAAACATAATGGTCTAATATTAACACAGAATTATAGGCTCAAAATAAAAAATGTATTTTTCTTCAGCATACCTCAACTTAATCTGATAACATTATTCAGAAGGGTTCTGCTGGAATGAATTTACCAATGCCTCATTGAAGATTCTGCATGTGGGAAGAAACTGGTGTACCGAGAGCAAAGCCTAAGTCAATAAGATGGCAAATAAGTAAAATGTGGCCTCCTATTGTGGACCCAGAGGTCACTGGAAGGGACCTCAGGGACCTCTCTGTGGTATCCTTGCATGGGTCATTCTTGAACACAAAGGGTCGCGCTGCGCTGCGAGAGGTTCGAATAGAAAGTTCATCTCATGACACGACACCGATTGCCCAACAAGAACAACAACATTGGAGGAAACCGACAGACATCAGTAAAACAGAAAAAAACTAAAAAGATAGCAAAGAAGGTAATTCCAACCGTATTCTGACGTCGCAGTCGAATTTAATCCCAAACTTCTCGGCAAATGGCTTGAAGACCTGCAAACAAACAGGACTGCAATGTTTAAGTGAAATGTGATATGTAAAAAAATAACTGACAAACCATGACACAGAACAACTACTCACGAAAAAATACTTCTGGTTAACGTTAATATATTAATTCAACTAACAATATTCGTTCGATAACATGTTTGAGAATGTTTGTCGATTCATGCCACATTACCACAGAGCAGCTTACATTAACCAACCAATTAATAATATGTATTGCATGAGGAAGTTGCCCAACCTGGCCAAGTAGTAAAAGACATCTTGGAAACTACCAAAGCATTCTGCATTAGTGCCTGAATTTACAAAACCGAAAAGACAAATTCACCGTGGTCGTGTAGTCGATCTGGGGCGCGTGAGAGACATTGGTGCCTCCTCGCAGGGTGAGCGCCGAAGGGCGAGCAGCAAAGAGGATACAAGGCAGCGTAGACTGCACCATCAGACACACACTCCTGCACACCCAGGGGGCGAAAAGTGATAATTTTGCTAAAGAAATTAGTGATGAAAATATAAGTCAACTAAATACGTATTTTTATTTTTAGTCAACGATGACTATGCGGAAAAAAATCAAGCATCCCGATGATTAGGACTACCCACCAAAGACCAATGCATAAATGACGTTGACAAAACAAGCCGTAGTGGTGAGATGTTAACTACATCGCCTGGTATACAGGAGGTTGTGGGTTCGATCCTGACCCTGACATTTAGAAACATGCTTTTAGAGTATTGGGCTGCTATAAATTTCCACATGATAAGCCACTTCGTTGAGCTATCATTTGTGGCCGGGTCGTTTCTGAACAGTTATATAGCTCAGCGAGCCTTACCAGGTAAAATAAAAAAATTATTTAATTGTTTACTCATATGCCCATGACACCAATATTTAATAACTAAGAGTGTTGACTAAATGTTTCACCGCTTGAGCCGAGTGGACTAAGATAATTACTATGCCAAATCCAGACTAAGACTCAACGAATATTCCACAGGTTTTCATGGACTGGACTAAGACTGGGATAAAAATAAAAAAAATACTGGCTAAACTCACAACTCGTGGCACACTTACACAGCACCAGTATGGGCCGACACAAAGACAAAATCCCCCGTATAGCTTTTAACAGGCTGTTGGGGCGAGTGTTGTTAGCGAGCACCTTTGAAGGACAGAACGGCCTGGCACCATGCCTGACCGCCTTTGTCTCCCCAGTGGCAATGTTTACACACCACACCAGGTACTCATTTGAGGCCGAGTCGACCTAGGGGAGGCCCAGAACCGCTTCAGATAATCGTCACTGGTGTTGGCCGTGAGCAGGAATCGAACCCAGGTCACCGGGTTCGTAGCGCAGCACGCTGACTATAACACTACCGATGGGTGTGGGCCTACACCCCCATCGAATAATGCACAAGCAGGTTGGAATTCTGGGCAATGACACATTTGTTCGACAGATGTAAGTTGTGCAAATTAATCTTACCCCGCTGTCTGTGTGTCAGCACGGTGGGCGCCACCCTGGATTTGCCCAGGATACAGCGTCACCTCACACGAGTTGATTTCTGCACCCACCAAGCGTCCTCCACAGAGGTCCCGCAGGGTGGAGAGTCCCATCAGGTGCTGTGGTCTGCACAAGGGGCCCACATTTTTGGTTGAGTAATGAAAGTGTGTGTGTGTGTTAAGACTAAGGGTTTTAATCATCAATAGGATGTTCTCACAGGATTTCCACATAGAAAACTGATAATGGGATCCTGAATTTGGCAGCTGGTGTGTTGTAAGTAATCTGGTAACCACACTTTCCACAACAAGTGTGCTAAGTGTTTGCTTATCAGGGAGCAGAGTTGCACACAGCTTCATTCTTTACTGACCCAGTAATACTCGTACATTTAACTAACAGCCAATATCAGTTAATGTGTAACGTAAATACACGTAACTATACAACTACTTCACACTTAATAATTTTGTAAAACTTTAGAAACTATCTTGGGATGTCAGACTTGAATGATTAATGGAATGAGACATTCAAAGTCTTAATTATAATCGAAAATAATGGCAAACCCTGGAGTTACTTCTCAATGAAAATATGAAGAAGAAAAACTCCACAATTTGTCAAGGAATAATTTGAGCTACTCCAGACACAAAAACGAATTGGAAGAGCCAATAACTGCTGAGAATCAAGATTATTTTACAAACTCCAGAAATCAAGTTTTATTAGCTAAAAATATACTGCATACAACATAAGTGTAAACAGTTATGTAAAATAAAAATTAAAGCATCACCACATCAATGTGACCATTGAGGTTAGCTACTTGACTCAGAGGTCAGAGCACTGAGCACCTAAGCTGGTTCAAACTGGGTTTCAGCTACCCATTAATTCATTTATTGCCCGAGGCTGGCCACTAATGACTGCCAAAAAAACACCCATTATTTGAAATTTGGGGTTCAAACTTATTTTCGCGAAATTCAAATAAATGTAATTTGGCTTAATTCGAGATCTGAGAATAAAAACAGTTATACGAATGAGACATCTCCTTTACCAGTGACAAAACATAGTAATAGGTTTTCACCCTTTCAACTGGTACAAAAAAACTGACACCTTTACACAAGGCATCATGTTTGCAATAACCACAACACAAGCAGTCAAAATGCTTTTGACTGCTTGTGTTGTGGTTATTGGTTATTGTGGTTATTATTTGGTTATTGTGGTTATTATTGTTGTGGTTATTGCAAACATGATGCCTTGTACAAAGGTGTCAGTTTTTGTACCAGTTGAAAGGGTGAAAACCTATTACTATAGTTATACAAATCTCACAGTACTATGAGAAAGTGCAACCTCGTCATGTGTAAAGAATGAAAAGGCCACTTGCAGTATTTTTCAGAAGTCCAGTTTAAAAATCTCTTTTTTTAACCATTCTCATTCACATGGGGTGCACTGCTCTGAGATTTCTGAACGGAGTATTAATCTGATGAAATCATGCTGATAGCCTAATTAGAATTGGGGAACAAAGACCAATACATATTTTAAATTTAGAGAAAGAACGTAAGCATCACAAAAGACTGCCTCATTCTGTAAGAGTTTTAATTACTCTTTCACCTTCGGACATGTAACTTAAGTAACCTGCTATATATGAGAAAACAAAAGCAAGTCATATACTGTGTATATGTCATTCAAGTACAAGCTGCTCTACATCAACATCAGCGATATTAAGTAGCACAAAATAAATAACAATTTCAAATTGTAGCATTAATGAATGGACCTTCCAAAGACAAACAATCTATGCAAATGGGATTACATTCTGGAATTGGCAAGATCTGACATTGCACAAGGTCAACAGAACATTGCACACAATGAGGCCAAAGTTTAAATGACAAAAAGGCTCAGGTTAGTGTTCAGACTGTCCACCCATTTATTGTGTTCAGAGGTGTGTTCACTTGAAAATAATTAACAGACTTTCCACTTAAGATAATTGTTTATTCGTGTTGTCATATCTTCTACCAATAACCATAGATGACATCAGATTTAAAGCATATATGGGATAGACAGATGCTCTACTAGCCACCATACTTTCATTAAAGTACAGTGGCTAGAAAGTCCTGCGTTACTATAGCAACATCACTGTTGTCTACAGATCAAGTTAGAATTCACAATATTTCAAAATCATATGCCTTAAAGCGTAACAGTTTTCTGCGTCATTCATAAGCAAGACCTGCATGAGGATCAAAACAGGTTACAAAACAACCCTAGCCACGTAAGGGCCTGCCAACACTCATCAACTCAACGGGGCTGGTGATTTTTTTTTACACGGAGTCAAATGAGGCACCACTGACCTCATAAGTCTCGGCTGGGTGAAATTTCTGATTCCTCATTTTCATGACACTGGGTACCAAGCTGGTAAAAAAATAGCCCAGTTTTGGTTCAGAAAACATACCAGAGCCCGAGTCTGAGACCCCACGTTCCATTAGCCAAGTGGTTCCAAGGGTTCAGCCCCTCCCCAATGTCCAATGTCCAACCCTCACTACCATATATTTTTTAAACAAATTTGGCTACGAAATTTAACTGAGCAGTGTCATGATGAGCATGTCTTGTTTCCATGTCGCAATTGATTCTAGTGTCGGACCGGGTAAAAGTGTTGTTGCATCGGATGATAAAAAAACTACTAAGAAAAATTATGCATATGAATCGGTTCTATACACCTTTCCAGGACAGTTTGTCCTCGGAAGTACTGTATCTAATTAGCAATGACAGCTAGACCTTCAAGCAGCAAAACGTGAGACGAAGTCATATTATGACGTGTGATGGCATCACTTTGGCCAAAAAGACTTACTCATTATTGCAGTTTTTTGGGTAACTCTTTCAATTTGTCCAAGAGCAACATAACTTGAAACTAAAATGTTACTTATTTTGATTGGATCAAAATTAGCTGGAAAGCGTGAATAAAAATAAAATAATGTAGGGTATCTATTTATTGTAAAATGTAACTCCTCTAATAGCCAAACAAATGCAAGCATCTCAGCTTCTGAAAGAGTCACACGATTAACTGATTTCTGGCGAGACACAATTTGAGTGGCCCTCCACCTCACAATATCGATAATAATCTCATTCTTATTTCTGCCTACATTGTATTACATTGTCTTAAATTAAATCTGCGTGGTTGTCACACTGTTGGTTGATCGTCTTAACGAGAAGCAACTGTGTAAAACTTCCGACTCCATGACTTCCCAACAAAAACAATGCACAAATATCATCGAGTTCACTACATATAAGCGAATTAGAATGTTGAAAGTTGCATTTATAGTTCACTCTTGTTGCAGTAATGACATAGTACAACACGACTATAATAGCGCTTAACAACAGTTATACATTGAACAGACATGTCGCCTTTAAAGCCGAGCAAAGGGAGAGGGGAATGTCCTTACCTCAGACCTGGCTTGGGGCGTCCAGCCCGGATCTTGGTCACGTGGATGGGTTTTCCAAGGATGCAGCTCAAGGCTGAGGACACCCTCAAGATCTGCCCTCCCTGAAACGTGAATAAGTGCACGGTCCCGTTCATCTCAGAATTTTCTTAAGCTACGACTACTGCGGCTTGTCAAAAGAAAAACGAGAAAACTTTTTTTTCAACAGGAGATGGGAAAACAAAGACATGAAAGATGGTCTTTTTCACGAGGGTTTCCTGGATTAAATCATGAGTTTATCTTCAGCATCACGCAGTAAAACAAAGCAGAACATAGACATGAATGAAAACGGAAAAACTAAGTTGAAATTAAAAAAAAAAATGGAGGAATGCATTATGTTTGGCACCCTAAGCTCGTGCTAGAAATTCCATATTTCTATGACAGGGTCCAGGAGGTGTGGCGATGCAGTGATTCACATAGTACATTATGAACCCAGCGATCTGAGTTTAAATCCAAGCCATAGTTAATGTAAGTGGAAAGTGATATCTGCATCACCACCCTCAACCAAAATAACTCCCATAAGCAACAGTGTGGAGAGACCATCACCCAGCAGTGGATTGAGAAATAGCTGAAAATGCATTTACATATTACGATAGGGGCCAAATTCTCCATTTGACAGTCAAAACTGAATTCTCACAGTGTTAAAAACTCCGCAGGGATGATGCCCTATGTAGACCTCTGATTGGTATTTTAACTCACAACCTCTCAATAGTGAGCCCTGTATTTTGGGCTCACAATTGCATTATGCAACGGTTGCATAGTACTAATGAGGCCAAGATTACTATCAACCAGATGCATGGTTAAAAAAACAGTCTTAGCCACTCATGTCCATAACCTAATCCTATACACCCTAACTCCTAACCTCAAACTCTAAATCCTACCCAAATAATCTCAATGACCCTTAATCCTACACAACCATTAAAATAAGTGGCACCCCTTTTAAGTTTATCAACTAAAAAGCTAATGAAGCAAGAAATGGAAAGGACCATTCACGGGTAAGCACAACCCAAAGAAGTTCTGATTGGACAACCATTCGGTACATGATTGGATACAAATGTGTAGGGGATAGTAGTCGCTCAAAAAAACACTCGTACAAAAAAATCTACAATTACGATTTAACATGTTTTGGAAAAGTCTTACATTTGGCTATTCAGCAAATTACTTTAAATCTTGATTACTTTGAAGTTAGAGTTTTTAGCGTGTTGGAGAAAACTAGGCATGGGGGTATAATATTGAAAACTCTTATATTCCACAGATAACACACACTTGTGCTGCAGTGCCATCTCCTGGTCAACTTGCGTGATTGACCACCCCCACTTCTAACGTCGTAGATTACAGATATGTGCGGCCACCAGCTTTCAGGCAAATTCAGATGAAAATTCTCTGTAATCAGAGGTTTTCAACATGCTGTTTTAGGTGGGTGAGACTGACTGAATAAGTGAGACCCATGGTTTACCAAGAGGCTCCACAAATAAATTGTAGTGTACTTCACATTTCACTGAGGCAGTGGACCTCACCCAGCAGTGGACCTCACCCAGCAGTGGCTTGACAAAGGGCTGAAGATTTATTGAGTTTCAAACCTTTGAAATCTTCATAATGCACAGCCCCTTGTCATATATCTACTGCTGCATTTAGATGTCCCCATACCTTGTCAGTCAGGGCGTTTGTTTGACCATACGTCAATACACTCAACAGTGCAGATTTGTGAAGGAGCGAGGTGGGACAGGATCAGGTCAGATATCACTCCCCGCTGATGTCAACCGTGGCCGGGAACACAACTCAGGGTGCGTAGCGCAGTACATTAACCACTGCACCACCGCTCCTCCCATTAAAGTCAACAATCGCTCCATACATTGTACCAGGATGAGATTGCCAACACAGTAATGCAATACCTAGGAGAGCTCACAGCTGTGTTCCCATTAACAGTCACTTATTTGCTTAGTCAGCAAATGTCCTACCAGCTGTGCAGACGCGACACCTATGGACAGGAGGAGAAACTACACTGCAATTGACCCGACACCAGCAATACGCAACTGCATGGCATAATTGTAGCAGTGTTTGATATTGAATTCCCATTAGTGTTAATCAACCACGATCAGTCTGCTGCTGGATGAAAGCCTCCCCGAGCCATCGCCATCTTTCACATTAATACTCCATGTAGCTCCTGCACATAAGTTGATCCCATCGCTCTGTCTCCACGGTTAATAATAATAATAATGCAATTTATAACGCGCGCAAATTTGCGGACGTAACGGCCGCAACTCGGAGGCGCGGAGCCAAGCTCAGAGTCACTCAAAAGCGTGGTTGTAGAGGCGAGTTCTTAAATGTCTCTTGAAGGAGACGATTGAGGTGATGCTGAGAATGTGCAGAGGGGTGACGGCGCTCCAGACTGTTGGGGCAGCCACCGAGAAGCAGCGCATAGACATGACCGTCCTGGATCTTGGTATCAAGAGGAGGTCGTGAGTCGCACTGCTAAGGCATCTGCCGTGTGCTGTGCTGCAAGTCGTAAATAATGAAGAGAGGTACGGGAGGCAGGCAGATGTTAAGGCATGGTGGCATAGGCAGGCGATCTTGTATATCACCCTGCTGGCAATCGGGTAGCCAGTGGAGGGCACGGAGAGAGGCAAGCGAGTCGAGACGGGGATGTAGCCCTCTTACAGCGTTAACTATCCGTTGGCTGCCAATCCGTCGCTATTCTCGATCCTTTACTTTCTGGAGACGTACCCTGTCCAAGCCTACTTACTTAATCACAACCAGTATGCGATTCCTGGAATGACACTTAACAGGCAGCAGGAGGAATAATGTGTAGGGATATCTCCACGGACATCAATGAGATCCTTACGCTGGCAGGTGGAAGCTCCACAATTCCTGTGTTGGAAACCATCTTTTTGACAGAAAACCCTCACTGTGGGACCTTTTTGCAGTATCAATGTGCTAACACCAAATAGATACCCATTTGCAAGGCGTAAAATCTGCAATAACGTGCGGCAGAGCATCCAAACAAACATGCTCTGATAATATATGGCATTGTCTTTGAAACCGATTGGCCTACAGCAGAGACAGCCTTGTTTTTATGGCCTTGTCTCACCAGTGTCAGACCAGAGAACACCAAAAGGCGAATACTACAGAGGAAATGCAAGTCTCAAATGATTAATATCGCGGGTCGAGCAGGTACATCTATGGGACCACTTTGCCATTGTTTGCATGTTTTGCCACAAGTACGTGTGGTTAATGCAGCCTTGATGCTTTGCAATAGGTTTCTATTTGGTGTTTGAACATTTAAACGTGTACATTTGTTTTCAACAACCTCACCATCGGCTTGCCACAAATTCGGTCGCTAATTTTTCGACCCCGAGAGGACAACAAGTATAACCAGTAAAAACAAAGTTTTTCACTATAAATCCTTGATATGCGTGGCGGCTAGAGTCCTCTCGTCCTCTGGCTTGAGATGGCTGCCACCTATGGGTCAGATGATTGCATTGCACGATTAAGCAATTGGTAATTAAATATATTTTTGTCCTAAAAAGAGTAAAATTTTGGAAAAAAAATTTCACGAACATTGTCACGCACAACGAGTCTGTGGAAAATGTCAGCTCGATTGGATCACGGGAAGTGGGTTAAAAACGACCGAAATATTTGCACGGTCCTAAGCAAGCAAGCGAACTTAATATAAAGGATTTAAAAACCGCCCGAGGTGCTCTCTGGAGCTCCCTCTGGTGGAGGCCCTTCCGCCAGCAATGACGTGGCATGCAATTACAGAACTTCACCTTTACATTACACGAACACTTCAGGGACAGTTTTGCCTTCTTTTACGGCATTTACATTCACAATGACTTCTTAAACCAGGTCAAAAACTCAAGAGATCAGGACAGCCTCCTTTGCCCAGTGACTTTGATCACCACGATTACCAAGGCGATGACAACGCAACAACGAAACGAATACAAATCACAGCGAAAGCAACACAATAAACCGCGTTAGATGAGAAATAAAAAAACGCATTGAAAAATCCATCGGAGGGCATCTTTGTAGGAAGTCGTCAATGTCCGCTAGAGTTGTGTTTTTCGTTTGCATTCCGACTGCAGGTATCGTGGTCAATGCAAACATGACTCCTTGTAAAAAAAAGTGTCAGTTTTGTTGCCAGATAAAAGGGTAAAAAAACAATTTAACACGTAGGCTTTCGCGACCAATATTATTCATAATCAACACCATTCTGGAGAATTGCCCGATGATGCTGGATGCAATTACCAGCGAAACGTCGTACTCAAATTGTAAATGTTGTGGTTTCACTCTTCAACACACGGGTGGGCTAAAGCAGTGAACTATTTGTCTTTTGTCAACGTGACACTTTTTTATTGATTGGCCGTGTCGGGTGGTGGAGGGTTACGACACATTTATAAATAACGCGATCTAAACCCAAAAACGTTGATTATGAATTTTTTTAATCCTATTTTACTACTGGCAAACGAGGTTGCAATGGAGCACGATGAATTGTTGCGATGTCAGCATTGCGAACATCTCACCCCTTCCAGGGTGTCGCCGTCGACGTGCATGGGCTCACGATCACTCATCGTCGTCGTCGTCGCCGCCGCCGCTCGTTGTAACGCAGCTGCTGCTGCTCCTGCCGCACGAGGCGGTATCGACGAGGCGGGTTGCCGCCCGCCGAGCGAAGCGGTCGAACGCGAAACGAACGACGGCAGTCGCCGCAGTACGATCCAGAGCGTCTCGACGGCAAAACGCAAAACTCTGCGCGCTTGGCGCGGCACCACCGAGCTCCCGTCGTCGTCGCGCGTGTGTTAAAGCGATCGCTCAACTGGGCGTGACGTCATTGTGATTTAACAACTCCGTCACACGCGCTAAAGCGATCGTGCAACTGGGCGTGACGTCATCGTGATTTAACAACTCCGTCACACGCGCTAAAGCGATAGTGCAACTGGGCGTGACGTCATCGTGCTTTAACAACTCCGTCACACGCGCTAAAGCGATAGTGCAACTGGGCGTGACGTCATCGTGATTTAACAACTCCGTCACACGCGCTAAAGCGATCGCGCAACTGGGCGTGACGTCATCGTGATTTAACAACTCCGTCACACGCGCTAAAGCGATAGTGCAACTGGGCGTGACGTCATCGTGATTTAACAACTCCGTCACACGCGCTAAAGCGATAGTGCAACTGGGCGTGACGTCATCGTGATTTAACAACTCCGTCACACGCGCTAAAGCGATAGTGCAACTGGGCGTGACGTCATCGTGATTTAACAACTCCGTCACACGCGCTAAAGCGATCGCGCAACTGGGCGTGACGTCATCGTGATTTAACAACTCCGTCACACGCGCTAAAGCGATAGTGCAACTGGGCGTGACGTCATCGTGATTTAACAACTCCGTCACACGCGCTAAAGCGATCGTGCAACTGGGCGTGACGTCATCGTGCTTTAACAACTCCGTCACACGCGCTAAAGCGATCGTGCAACTGGGCGTGACGTCATCGTGCTTTAACAACTCCGTCACACGCGCTAAAGCGATCGTGCAACTGGGCGTGACGTCATCGTGATTTAACAACTCCGTCACACGCGCTAAAGCGATCGTGCAACTGGGCGTGACGTCATCGTGCTTTAACAATTCCGTCACACGTGCTAAAGCGATAGTGCAACTGGGCGTGACGTCATCGTGATTTAACAACTCCGTCACACGCGCTAAAGCGATAGTGCAACTGGGCGTGACGTCATCGTGATTTAACAACTCCGTCACACGCGCTAAAGCGATAGTGCAACTGGGCGTGACGTCATCGTGATTTAACAACTCCGTCACACGCGCTAAAGCGATCGTGCAACTGGGCGTGACGTCATTGTGCTTAAACACCTCCGTCGCACGCGTTAAAGCGAATGTACAACTGGACGTGACGTCATTGTGCTTAAACAATCGGCGGGCATCTTTGAGTGAGGCAATACACGTGGAAGTGGCGGAGGGGGCGGGTGGGTGAGTTGGCATATACTGGTCATCTCAGTCAGCTACAACTCATTGCACCTGCTGGGTTCTAGATCCCGAGACCTCCATTCAGCAGCGATAACTTCGACAACTTAACGTGGCCTCAAAAAGTGCACCTGGGCCTGCTGTCACAGGTGCCGTAGGTGACGTCACCGAGTGGCGACACGGCGCGTCGGTGGTTGAGTTGTAGTGCGATGACGTCACAGAACCATTCACACGACCGCCACGCCCCGCGTTTAGATTTCCCAACGCGAATGCGCGCCAACCCTGCGCCGGTCTTCGACCAATCACAGCGGCGGCCTCTGCGTATCCGCTCTAGGAAATCTACATCGCGATTTATTTTTTTTGTAGACGCCACCGCGTGCAGCAGTCATGACGGCTTTCTCGGGTGAGTTCGTTGTTATCAAGGAATCGTTATTCGTGATACTACAACAACAAAACTAAGCACGCAACCTCACTACCGGCTTGCCACAAATTCTGTCGCTAATTTATCGACCCTGGATGACTAATACCGCTTGATGTGCTCTGTGCAGCTCCCTCTCATGGAGGCCCCTTCCGCCAGTATTGACGTGGCAAGCAATTACACGACTTTACATTAATACTTCACGAACAGTTTGCCTTTTTTACGGCATTTAGATTCATATTGACTTCGTTAACGAGGAGAAAACTCAAGAGATCAGGGCAGTCTCCTATATAATAAAAAAATCTAAAACGCTACGGAAGCCCCCCCGGGTCGCGGTTTACAAATCGCGATTTTTTTAATTTTAGACGCCACCGCATGCAGCAATCATGACGGCTTTCTCGGGTGAGTTGGCTGGCAAGGAAGGAATTGTTTCTTGCGATACGACTACAGCAACAACACTGACGGCGTTTGTAGAGAGAACCTACTCCGTTGGGATTGCCTACGAACAGCAATCGTGCGACGAATTGTGTGACTGTGTTCTGTGGCGTCGCTATATTTTTGCGTTATGCGCCTTAACTGGGTTAGGCCAAAGCGAATGGATCTGTCAATGTGCGTGTGTCTCGATACGGTGGATTGTACAATTGCACCCCTTCGTCAATCCACTGCTAAATGAATCGTTGAAGGCGGGCAGCGTAGTACAGAGTACGGCTATGGGGTTGTCTTCCGTGCTATTGTGCCGTACAATAACACGTGGAAATGCTGTCCTACGCACACAGTTGTACAGAAATTCGCACACAGTTACAATTGATGTGACAAATGACCGTCAAATAAACGTGAAACTGGGTCAGATGGTTCCTTACTAAAGCTGAAATGCCAAATTAAAGTTTTTAATGGTTTTCTTTGCTAGGTTCGAATTAAAATACATTGTCTCAGTGGGCCAAACGATGAGTGGACATCGTCGTTTAGTTATTCACACATTGTTGTTACATGAATAACGTAATAGTTAGTGCCTCTTATCCAGTAAAGGCTCGCTCAGTCTTACCGTAAGGTTTGCTTCCAGGAGGGTGCTGCATTGCGATGTTTGTCACTTCCATTGATTAGTTTATTGCTTGTGTAAGAAAACGCGTGTATACGACTGGGTAATACAACTGCACAGATGGCTACAGTAATCTATTCGTGTACCACCGTCTCCTGGCAACCTAAGCAGCCCCAGCCTACAACACATGGCATTCCCATGCAAGTACCGTGCTAACCAGGCTCCAGCCTGCTTGGCTTCCATGATCCGACGAGACTTTGCTGATGATGATAACCCACATTAACCTCACACCAGAGTGGTCGCTGGATATTTTCAGTTGAGTTGGAATTGATGAGTATTGAAATAACGACTTGGACTCCTAAATTGTGATGGTAGCTTTTATAACCTGCCTATAGTATGACATCCCTCGCATAAGGGGTCATCCATTTAGTACGTACGCATGAAGGGGGGTTAACCCAAATTCGTACTCTTGCGTATGGGGGGTCTACTACAATGTACGTACCCATAGGAAACGGGGGGGGGGGGTGAAACCTCGATAATAATTTGTCTACATTGGCCTTTTGCGTGGATTAAATATCGGCCGTTCTATAGGATTCAGGTGGGGGGTGGGGGGTGTAAAAAGTCCGCGTGCGTACAGGGAGGGGGGGAGGGGGTCAAGTTTTGACAGATTTTTGCGTACCTACTAAATGGATGGCCCCTATAGACGTACATTTGCGAAAGCGTTACACACTTTCCAAAAGGAGGCGATAAATAATAATTATTTGACCACTAAAACGTCTCGGATGAAATCCACGCCCCAGATATATTAATGTGGCAATGAAAATAAATAAAGCACTTTTGTGGGCGGTTTTGGAACGTTAAGTCATATCTCCTTATTTGAAAGGTACTGTTATGGAGATTACTGGTGTTTAATCGCCATGTCAGTCATTGTAATGATATCAGCCATACTCAGTATATTTCTGGATGATGGTCTTTTCCAAGTGATCGTCATCGCATGATCTTCTGACACAATAAACCACCCAGCACCTACAACACACGAGCTGATTTCATCATTTTATTTCATTGGTAAACGTTCTTGTAGACATTCCATCCTTAATATTGACCATCATCTAATTCTACCAATGTGTCTTGCACAAGCCCACTTTTTACCGTTAATATAATTTGCTATTTGCAACAAGAGCCTATCAGTATGCACACGAAATACATTTGATCAATGTCTAAATATTCACCTCTGTTTCCACAGAGATGGGTGTGATGCCCGAGATTGCTCAGGCTGTGGAGGAGATGGGCTGGCTGTGAGTCCACATTCTGCACACATCCTACAACAGCATCCTTCATATCGTCGCTCTGTTTTAGCATATACTTTAGTTGAATACAAAGCACTTACCAAAACAACAACAAGCGATAGAGTATAAACTGTATATGTGTGTACTTAAAGTGCAGTAATCGCTGCTTTTTTGCTGTTTAAAATTATCAGCGTTATGTTTTAAATATTCGCGGCTGTAGAATGCTACTACCTGACAAGAAGTCGTGAGGCATGGACGCGGTGTAGATAGTGAAAGCGTGAAAGTTGATCTCCCACAGTGTGCCTTTACACGCGAGTGCTGTCCTTCACAATGTATTGGAATGAAGATATGTTTCTACCTACTTGACTATACCGAATGAACCAAAGAGTATGGATTCCTGCAGTCACGAAAGCTTCAAATCAAGATGGAATTAAGATATTTATTCATTCATTGATATTTGCACGTTTAAATAGGTTTATGCTCGTTAAAGATAATTTAAATCACTAAATGTATGCATTCATTAATATATACATACAGTTTATTTGTTTAAACTTAATATATGCGTATGCACCCTAACACAATTTTCCACAAGTTTAAATATTAATATCGTTTACTGTACAGCCCTTTGTTAATGCACTGCTGGTTGAAGGCCTCCCCATACATTATCGGTCATGGTGGTTGTTTGACCATATTTTGCCACACTGGTCGGTGAGAATAAGTGAGGGAGTGGCTCAGAACCATTTGAGATATTACATACTCGCCACTGATATAAACCGTGGCTGGAATTCGAAATCAAGTTACTGGGTTTGTAGTGCATTGCTCTAGATGTCTGTACAGTCTATGATATGGCATTTTGTAATATTTAAAAAATGGTAGTCTTTGTTTCCTAAAATTAGGATGTAACTAACAATATGATATTGAGACCTGAATATTTTGCACAAGATGTCAGCAAATGTATTGAAATCCTGCAATGTGCATCTCCACTCCACCCCTCAGACTTCCAACAGACATTCAGGCGGAATCTATTCCACTCATTCTTGGAGGTGGTGATGTCCTCATGGTATGAGATAATTTCAATTGACTATGAATTACACTGCAAAATAATGTACACAATGTCAAACACATTAGTTTGCACTGTAAGACGGTGGTTTTCTCTTGACTGTTGTAAGTGGCCGTTTCACTTTATAAATGAGTTTGTATTTTATATTTTTTAGGCTGCAGAAACTGGCAGTGGTAAAACTGGAGTAAGTAAACACCTGAATGATTTTTGCATGTGCATTTTATATGTACTTGCTACACCTTTACTAAAATCGCAAACTATTTAACATTTTCCCTCCAAATGTCGTGTCTATTGCCACTTGCAAACCGAAAGATTTATACTGTAAGCTGCTAATTTGTAAAACCTTTTACCGCACACCGATTTTCAAAGCAAAAATTGATAAATGTTTGTTTTCATCAAGTGGCATGATTAGCTTTGGAAATTGGTATATGGTAACAAAAAATCGTCAGCCTACTGCCTAAATCGGTAGTGTTGGCAAGTTATGCTTTGCCTGCATTGTGATGCTGTTTCCTAATCATTCAGGCATTCAGCATCCCCGTCATCCAGATTGTGTACGAGACTCTGAAGGACCAGCAGGAGGGAAAAGGAGGAAAAGTTTCAGTGAGTTCCAAACCAGCAGGTAAGCTTCTGATCAGCAAGACATTGCCTATATCGGATGGTATCAATCAGTGTGTCCTCCAAATACTGGGCTAATTCAGGGGTGTGATCCACTGATAAATATATGTTTTATAAACAAGCCCATTCGCACCTCCGATTAGCACGGTTGGCTATGTACAGTGGGAAAGAAGTTCAACATGCATACATTCCATCGAGACCAAATTTATATCCCATTTACAGCTGATAATATTCATATCGATATTATACGTAAAAATATATATTATGTGCCTACATAAAAGAAAGGTAAAAATAACACCACTGAAACAACTAAAAGTCACAAGCCATGTCTGAAATGGACAATGTTTCATTAATGCTACAGTGGTTAAAAAACTGGAACTGCCGGGCATGTGACGTTACTTCGCAGCATGGAAACATAGCTAAGATACATAGCTAACTTTTGCTTTTCATTCTGTTCAGTTCTTGAGCTTCTGCAGTGCGATTTACATTTTTAGCTTATATTTTCGGAGTTTCTCCCAGTAATCCGTCATATGTGGGACATGGTGTAATAGGCAACATGATTTTAATGACACCCTGTATTTATTTGGAATTTTAAGACTGATATTTCCAATCCTAAAGTAACCTGAAATAATGTTTAATAGGGAAAAACACAAACTGTAATTATTTTAAAATACATGTGTAATGAAAAAAAATATTGCTTCATTAATGCCCTTTCCTTGCCTCTTTAGTGTTGAACAAGTGGCAGATGAACCCATATGATAGGGGCACTGCGTTCGGTGAGTACCTGTTATTATTGCAACATTTTGATGTGTTGTGCACATTTGTAATTGATGTAATTGTTGATGAATGTTTATGCTTTTAATGGCCTTCATGTGATACGAAGATTGCACGTCATTATATGTGTACTTACAGCAATTGGGCCTGATGGACTCTGCTGCCAAAGCCGAGAGTTCAAGGACTGGCATGGCTGTCGCTCCACTAAAGGTGTCACCAAAGGTGAGCAAAGCCATCTATTACTTTTCATGCATTGCAAGACGAGTACATACATACAATCCTTATAATGACATTGTTTACCCTGAACACATCTTCTTTCGTATGGTGGGGAGTTGATCAACAACGTTTATATCTTCATGTCAAGGTCATCGAGCCAGTTGGCGCTGTCTGTAATGGTCCAAAATGGTGACAGTGAATTATCAAAATGTGCAGTGCTGGACAATGTGGTCCATGGTCTGCGATTCATCACCATAGTCACACGGCGGCTATTCATTTTCATCCGGGGCAACTTGCAGCATTTACTACATGAAAAATTATTGACAGCATAAATTTAGCTTGAATTGTGTAAAAATATTTTTTTACATACTTCATAGAGAAATGTGCAGAATTTGTATGTGCTCATTTCAAGATCTCACTGCAATGTTCCCAATGTTCTCTTCTAGGAAAATACTATTATGAAATAACGTGCAACGATGAAGGTTTGTGCCGTGTGGGTTGGTCCACAATAAAAGCTGCTCTTGACTTGGGTAAGTGAGATGCCTGTCGGTAAAATATTTTTGTTGTACAATCTTTAATTCCCTATGTTGTAGTGGAGACACAGTGCCATTTTGGTTTGTTAAATGTGTCCCCCAATTTTGTCCCTAAATTCTTTGTATTTTTACCTATTAAGACTAAACTGTCTTTTAAGTGGTGTTTTAGATAACTAGATATTTCTTTTTTTTTAACTGTTACATTACATGATTACTTCATGTAAAATTTGTTTCGTAAAATTAAATCAGGATTTGTATTTAGCTGTGATTTTTTTTCCTTCAAATTATAATTACCATGCTCAAGACACCCAGCACATTGTTACCGTGTTGCTTGCGTTCTGTGAAGGCACTGACAAGTTTGGTTTTGGGTTTGGTGGAACGGGGAAGAAATCCAACAACAAGCAGTTCGACACTTATGGAGAGGTAAGTAAAATGTTATTTAAACTTTTTATAAATTACTAGTAAAGATAAAAGTATGCTTTAAAGGGCCAATATGTTCACACATGAACAATCTTATTCTATAATCAACAATGATGACTCTTGTTTGTATGAATGCTCACAGAAAATATAAATCCTGTGCTATGATTCCATAAGCTGCATTTATTTATTGCACCGTGTCAATTAGTCCAAAATATATTTTGCAGCTAATGGCATGCTTATTATTTCATCAAACAATTTGTATAAATAAAACGTGCTGTCATAATAAACAAAATACATAAATACAGGTGTGCATATGTTCTCTTTCTGTGGTTTGTGCATTTCATGTGTTCCCAATTGAGAAAATGCCATGGCCTTGCATACTTATTAGGCTACTTGATACCCATAATGGTGGTTATGTTGCTGTGCAAAAACGAATACATTCATTATGCGGGATTAATACGATCAGACAATTGCTATATGCAGAATGCAAGACAGTCATATCACTCTGTTTAAAAAGGGTTTAATGAAAATACAGAAAAGCTAAATGAGAGCGGTATAGTGATTCACCTTCCTGGCAATAAAATAAATTGTCACTATTCACTGTCATTCAGTTAGTCTTTTTTACATTGTGATGAAACTTGTGGCATCTGTTAACTGCAATGGCCACGTGAATCTTTTACATATAACGTGTGATTCTTGCACGTGTGATTCAACGCATAATCGTGAGCGCAAGACTCGATGTGAATGCATCGTTACATTTCTACTAAACGATTCATAATTCAGTTTTGGTAAAACCGAAATGTGTGAAAATCCTCGTTTGTTTATTTATTTTAGTCATTCACAATGCATGACGTTGTGGGATCCTACATTGACATGGATGCTGGAACCATCAAATTTGCCAAAAATGGTAAGTTGTATAGTGACAGCATGGAAACATACAATACAATTTAGGTTGATTTAATATTTAAAAATAACTGGCATGTCATCATTCTATAACATGCAATTGTTTCATCTGTAAATGCACATGGCAATGTCACATGGCAATATACGTGTTTAACCCTCTGTTGATTATTTGTCTTTTAGGCAAAGATTTGGGTTTGGCATTTGAAATCCCTCCACCTCTGAAGGGCCAAGCTATGTTTGCTTCCTGTGTTCTGAAGGTAACAACATTAAGTGGTTTACTTTCTTCATATTTATCGAAATAATTCAAGTTATGTTGCAAAATAATATTTGAGTATTGGCTTGTTAATGATTTTAAGAGTGTATTATTCCCACCTGATTAGCACGGTTGGCTACGTATGATGTTAAAGAAGTTCGGCATATATACATGTCACAGTATTTCTTCACATTGTCAGCAGAGGGCAGTACAGGAACATCCATCGTTGACCTCTACTCGGTTCTCAGCCTTCACCAACCCGCACGGTGACTTAGTCAAATACATCGCCGTGACCCACATGGTGTGGAGAGGCCCATATCCAGCAGTGGATTGGCAAGAAGGGCTGTACATTTACCATCATAAAATCTTCCCTGGGAAATACACTTATATGTTTGATGTTATAATTACCAAACAAGCATACACACCTACCAATACAAATCATTGCTTAATACTCTATTTAAAATGAATGCGCTGTAGAATGGAGAACTGCAGTTTAACATGGGCGAGGAAGACTTCAAGTTCCCACCCAAGGATGGCTACATCGCTCTGGCCAAAGCACCTCAGAACTGCACAGCTACATCCGAATACAGAGGTGAGTACTGCATCAAGTGGATGTGTTTTCATTGAAATAAGTGGTCCTGGAGAAACAATGACACAGGTTATTTGACATACAAAATGCAGTAGCAGCAGCAGCAAGGCCAGCCACGAGCACTCAGGGGTACAGATTATGCCGACTCCTTAGGTCCCGACGAATGCTCTCTGACTAAAGTTGAAAGTGCTATTGCATTAGCACTGTGCTATTTTTTTCTGTACCATGGGGTCACAATAACTCATACAAATAATCCAATTTAAGTTAAATATTTGTATAAATTTGAGTTGCTGTTCGGGTCTTAGTCTAGAAAAAAACTGGGTAAATTGATAAGGGTTGCTAAAAACTCTGTAATAAAAAAAAAATCGGCATTAAATGGGTAAGCATTGTCTGTTGCTTGATCTTCCAGAACTGTTCTGTGACACATGTGTACTGCTTACTGCAAGCGAAACCATATCGTCCGCTCCGTGAACGGCAACACTTGGCATGCTCTTTTTTTTTTGTTCTACACCGGCACAGGCAGCACGGCCATGGCACAGCCCAAGAACCAGCCCAACGCTCCCAAGGCTCTTATCATTGAGCCATCGCGGGAGCTAGCAGAGCAGACCTACAACAACGTCTGCCAGTTCAGGAAGCATGTGGACAACCCAAAACTGAGGTATACAACTGCGCAAAAGCCCCTTTAGTCCACTCCTTCCCAGGTCTTACTCAACACTTTTCAGCCAACCCATGTTTAGTATATGGGGAGCGTGGCACAGTAGTTTGTACACTGCTATGAACGAGGCTATCATGGCTTACGTTAGCAGTCAGTGATATCAAAACTGGTACAGCACCTTCCCCACCACCACCTACCCGACCATTTCACCAACCCACATTGATCACCTTGGATGCATGGTCAAAACAAACCCCATGACTGACACGGCCTTCATCCAGCAGTGGATTGGACAAAAGAAAACTTTTGCGATTCGTCTAATGTGCTGCTCAACAACGTTTTACTAAGTGGCACTGGTCAGCACCTGCCTCACAATCGAAAGTGTGTGTTTTAATCCTTTTTTTGGATACTCTCGATTTTTTCATGGAGTTTTGGACATGGGAAGCTTGGTTGCCAGTAGAGATGATTACTGCCCCATGCTTGTTTTAGTGTGGAAATATCTTTGTCTCTCTATGAATACCAATGTAGGACCTAAATGTCATAATTACAGCAATGCTTCTTTTCTTATTCAGAGAATTGCTCATTATCGGTGGTGTGGCAGCAAAAGATCAACTGCAGGGCATAATCGATGGGGTACGTCTTTTTTGCACCTATTTTTTTTATTTCCATGAATTAAAAAAAACAATAAGTTCAAATGGTAACTTGACACCGAGTGTAGTAAATGCCTTTTCTTGAAAGGCATCCGAGTTTTTTTATGCTACGTATCACCTGTTGAATGTGGATCCAAAGAAAAAGTGTAAGCTTCAAATAAATAAGTAACACCAACGGTACACACGAGGAATGTATTATTATGCTGTGCATGTTTGGTATGTGCCTTCAGGTTGACATTGTTATTGGAACACCTGGCAGAATTGACGATCTCGTTTCAACTGGCAAGCTGTCAGTGTCCCAAGTGCGCTTCTTTGTGTTGGATGAAGCGGTGAGTGCGGCAGCTTTGTGGATTATTTATCATTAATTATATATGTAGTGTAATTAGTTGAAGACAAAGCTAATGAATGCAGCAAACAGCACTCTTTTAACATGAAAGCAACACTGGAGCCTACGTGCAAAGCAATGGAATAATAGAATACTTGTTTATTCACCATTGTGCTCACAGACTAATAATACATTCATAATGTTGGCTTTGGCTTTTGCAGGATGGGTTGATAAGTCAAGGAAACCTTGACTTCATCACACGTCTCCACAGACAGATCCCTCAGGTCACATCAGATGGCAAGCGACTGCAGGTTTGATGGACGCTGGACTAAATAACACTGGACACAAAAATTCATTTTAACTGACAGTCAGCTGCACCCATGATAAGATAATGTAGTGTGATTGTGTGGTTTTGTTAAATGCTATGCCTACGATTGTGTAATAAGTGGCTCCGACACGGTACGTAACTTCAAGGTATTTATTAAATCTTCGGTACAGCCACTTCTCTCTCTCCGCGGATGTCGACCCGCTCTCGTGCCTGCGCTGCCCTGCGCCACGTGGCGCTCACCCCGCTCGCTAACGCACCGCTGGCTGGCGGCGCGCTAGGGAGCGGCTGGAGGTCAAGCCGCCCCGTGGCAGGTGGAGATGGTGGGCCGCAGCGATGGGGAGCTCCTCTTCGATCTCCAAACACCAACCCCTAACGTTGCTGTACCCCCAGCTTATATTCACTCCCCGGAGGCTAAGCCCCGCCTCTGGCCACGCCCCTCCTGGAACCTTCGAGAACGTTCCAGAGGCTTCCCTGCTAGAGCTGCCCAATCACCTTTCGGTAAAGTCACGTAGCTCTGCCTTATTATTTATTTTAATTTTTCTACCTACGTGACTTTACCGAAAAAAACTAAGTATGAATCCTTGCAGTCATGAAAGCTTCAAATCTAGAATCGATCACCTTTCCCCCAGATAGAAACCCTACTATGGATAATCCGTGGACTGTATCAGTCTGTAACTGTAACCCCCACAATAATGCAGGAGATGGCGCTCTCTTATTACAATTGTAATTAAGATCTATACTGTATACCATATGCACCGTAGCAGGACACCGTTGAAACGGAGCCTAATAGCTCATCGAGCCCTTCCTGCTTAAATAAAATTTAATCTAGCTTTTGTGACAGATATTGGACATCATGCATGTGGTTGCTGGGTTGAAAATTAGCAAAATTTGCACAAATGTATGCCAGCAAGTGCTATTTTCCTGCTAACACGTGCATTGGGCCAAGTGGTTGCTGTATGCCACACAACAAACAAAACCTTCCCATGTTATGCAGCATCTATATAATGAGTAGGAAACCTTTTCCTCTCTGAGGGTCGAATAGGGCTTCTAAATAACCAAAGTGTGTCACATTAACACACACAACTCTGTTACTTGTCACTGCAAGAGGCCTTTGTGGTGCCAGAAGTTTCTGAACGTGGCTCTAAAATGAGAAAGTGTTGTCTAGTAAATATGATTTGCCTATTAGTAACCAATTAGTGCAGTTCCGATGCTTGCAGCGGTGTAATTTGGGGGCCGTTTCAATGTCTGGCCTTTGTAGCTATTGGCCCTACTGAAGAGAGTCCTGGCCTGTAGGTTTCCCACTCATGATCCCAATCCTTTCACCTCATCATGTGTGTCTGCCCCCGCTGGCTGCAGGTGATCGTGTGCTCGGCCACCCTGCATTCCTTCGATGTGAAGAAACTGTCCGAGAAGATCATGCACTTCCCAATCTGGGTGGACCTGAAGGGGGAGGACTGCGTGCCCGAGTCTGTGCACCATGTGGTGGTGCCTGTCAATCCCAAGGCCGACCGCTCCTGGGAGCGCCTGACCAGCAACCGCATTATGGTATCAACTGCAGCAGTAGCAGCAGCAGCAGCAGAAGAAGAGTAGTGCAGTTGGCATGGGCCCTTTTGCAAGGAATTAAATGGGTGCCCCCTTATCCAATTTCTTTCCCCCCCCGACACTTTGCTCCCTGTCCCCTAGGCCCCTTTGACCCAAGGTCCCCGGTGCAGTTGCACACCTGCACGCTGGTTGGTTACGTCATTGATTCACAGGCAACCGTGATGCGCATGGGAACCGCAGACCAAGGCACCATCGCCACTCAGCTATTTGGCACACAGTGAACAATTCTATTGCGATCACTTGTACTTTCTGTGGTGAATTACATAAATGTGCCTTTTTCCCTAAGTTAAAGAGTGGAGCAGTCCTTATGTCAGTTTGCAGTCTTGAGCCAGTGATAAAAAAAGTTTTTGTTTAAGATAATTTGCATAATTTGCCATATGCCAATATATGCCTTTGTCACAAGCAAATCCAAGTGACCTGTGTATACAAATTATGTAACTACATGTGCCGATTTTCCCAAACACAAACTAAATCTTGTTGTGCTCAGTAAAGTTGAATGAATCCCACGCATCATTTTTGCTGTACCAAAAGTTTTTTGATGAAATGTTCGACATATTAGTTGGCACTGACAAAACGTAACACTGCAATACACTTGTTCCACATTTCAGACAGATGGTGTGCATCAGAAGGATAATACAAGACCTGGAGCCAACAGCTCTGGTAAGTTTTTTTTTTTACTTTGATACTTTTAAAATGCTGAAAAAAATACACCTCAAGACAAATTTAATCTGACAGCATGCCTGTGACCAATGTTAGCACACGCTGAAATACTTGAAAATGTGACAACTGGCTCGATCGCATGTCCGCTTTAGAGATGTGGTCAGAGGCCGTCAAGTTACTGAAAGGCGAGTACGTCTTGTGTGCCATTCGTGAGCATAAGATGGACCAGGCGATCATCTTTTGCCGTACCAAACTCGACTGCGACAACCTGGAGCAGTACATGATTAAATCTGGAGGAGGTATGTGCCACACGTGCTTCCGTTAAGTCTGTTTTTGTGAACACTTTCTGACTAATGTTGAAAGCATGCATGCATTAGCTCTGCCTGTCTGTAACAGTAGCGTATGATGACTCTTGAAAAGATAATCTTACATCTTCTTTATGATAATTGTTGCTGTTTGCGACTTGGCCTACAGAAAGCCAGTCAAATTGATATTAGGGCTGGCCAAAAATTTGGCAACAAAAACGACTTTGCATGTGACATCTCACAATGTCAAACATCGAAAAAGACTTTGGAAAATATTACATAAGCCATGCATATGCATGATCTTTCTTGTTTGTATAAGTCTGAGCTTACGTGTGAAATACAGGATGTTGCGATTCAGCACTGGCTTGTAGTTTTTGCATGTGCTGTTGGGTGATGGTATGGTTAGAATGCTTAAATTACATGGGAAAGGTTGTGAGTTTAATTTTTTGTGGGGTGGGGGCATTAACTGATCCCTCTAGGGTCAAAATCATTACAAACTTTTTAAAAAGTCAATATTGGTAATGCATTCAATAGATTTTGCCCCTGATTTTGGAATGTGTAATTTTCCAGGATTGGCTCCATTCTGTCATTGGAGATGAGCACCATTCTATGATCACTCTAGCAGGGGGAATTCTTCGACTTGCATTTTTGGTGCGCTTGTCATATTTTATGTTTGCTGTACCAATAAAGTTGCCTCCACTCGCAGGGCCTGACAAAAAACAACACCAGTACTCCTGCGTTTGCCTGCACAGCGACCGAAAACCAAACGAACGCAAAATCAACCTGGAAAGGTTTAAGGTAATTACCAGTTATACCATAAGTGTTGAAGGGGTTTTAACCAACCATTATTTAAATTGCGTAATGTATGAGGCTGCAACGTTAAAACTAAAAGTTAAAGGGAATTTCTTGCTCATGCCACTGCTGGTGGAAAGAGGCTTCTGAGAGGGCGCTCTAGAGAGCCCTTCTGGAGGGTGTATTTGGCCTACTCTTCCACACTGGCTAGACATCTTGGAAGAGGTGGGAATACCCACACCTTACCAGATTGCACGCAACCTTTCAATCGACTGCCTTTAATATTCTGTTTTTTTATTTGAATTCCTTTTCAGAAAGCGGAAGTGCGGTTCATGATTTGTACTGATGTTGCAGCAAGAGGCATCGATATTACTGGGATTCCTTTTGGTCAGTCTTGCCCACAGCACCATGACAAATATAAAAGACGCTTTGGCTTTTCACGAACAAAATACCACGCCGGGTTGTGTGTCCGTTTTAGTGTCGAGGACTAATCGTGCTCAACGTTGTGCACTTTCAGTGATAAACGTGACACTTCCCGACGAAAAGCAGAACTACGTCCATCGCATTGGCAGAGTAGGCAGAGCTGAGAGGTACGGTGTGATGCTTATAGTTCTTAAACATTTTCAAACACATGTACTCTGATGTCCAATATTTAAACTTTTTGTTTTGCTTGCTTTAGAATGGGGTTGGCCATCTCCTTGGTAGCAACGGAAAAAGAAAAGGTAAGTAAACACGTTTTTGAACTTTATAACTGGGCGAGAACTGTCAGACATATGTCTACTTTGAAAATTACAAAATAATTTCGTGTCAACAAACAGTTAATACAATGGGAGTAGTCATGAGCAAACTATTTAGCAAAGTTGCAAGTTTGACTGTGGTCACCCGCACAGGTGTGGTACCACGTGTGCGCCAACCGCGGGCGCGGTTGCTACAACACGAGGCTGAAGGATGAAGGTGGCTGCACCATCTGGTACAACGAGCAACAGGTGAGCGTGTGTACGGTACAATTTATGCGGTATTGTCAATTCACCGCTGGATGAGGGGCCCCCATTGCCATGCTGGCCTTGGGGATTATTTGCCCATAATTCATGTTTATTCGTGTGGGTTCGTGGACGTAGAAGTACAGTAGAGCAATGCTTTTTGCTTGCACTTCCCTCTACTGCCCGACACATCCCGCAGCCCTACGATAACTTGTTCATGAATTGTGGACACCCATCCAGGTACTATTAAGGCTCAACCCCTGCTTAACAAGGTGCAATATTTTTTCGCACTTGTCGAATTGTAACGAAATGCTTGCATACAAAATAGAAGAATTTGAAACACTTATGCAGATGGGATGTAAAATTTTTGTACAAATGGCTGAGCAATATACTTGCCCGACTGCCCTCTACTGACCACCTTGTAGCCCTGCAGGTTTGGAGTTCAGAAGTATGGTTGTGAGTGACGTAAATTCCAATTATGTTTTTTTTGTAAGCACTGGGAAACAACAATATGGAAAACAATATAGTTGAGTCTTTACTTATGATAAGAAACCCGCAAAAAAATATCAGAATTTGTCTCCCCAAATATGGGGGGGTAATTTTCTTTATTTTTTTTTTTACGTAAGCCTAGGAAATGTATGTGGAGGTTTTCCGGCATATAGAGTTGAAATATGGCACAATATTATCAATAACTGACATTTTCAGGTTATTTTTTTGAAGAGTTATGCTAAAGCCAAGAGAATGTGGGTAAAAGCCACTGCTAGTTGTCGCAATTAACTCGTCTCCAAAGCCCTGGATTGTAGGCATGGTTTCAGATGATAACTTTTACAAATCGTCTATTTCACATCATATACTTCAATTTTAAGAGAGACTCACAGACTGAGCCGCTTGAGTGAGATAGTGTTCTCACCACTACACTCCCAAACACACAGCTCCTAGCAGATGTGGAGGAGCACCTGGGCATCACCGTCCAGCAGGTGGAGCCAGACATCAAAGTGCCTGCGGACGAGTTTGACGGGAAGGTGGTGTACGGCCAGAAGAAAGCAGCTGGAGGTATTATAACCACTCCAGCCACACACCCGGCCTCCTTTCATAGCCGTCACCCAAAAACTCTTATCACTGAACGCCTTCATGACTCCACTCTGCTAATAATTGCTTGACTCCTCGACTGCTTCATCCTGAGTTCCGTGCATGGCTGTCACTACTTGATGCTTTGATCACTGTAGCCATTGACTCCCTAAATCTGTCACCTCAAAACTTGAGATGATCGATCGGTGCTGCTAGTCTCCTAACTATAACGGCAACCTGATTTGTAAAAAAAAAGGAACCACATTATTGTGCTTTGGTCCTGGAGTGCTATGAATCAGCACAACAAAAATATAATCCTTCATCTTCAAAAGCCCTTATTAGCCTTCCTCCCACCTCTGTGCTGATCCCCTTTCCCTCAACTGACCTTTGTGCTGCTTTTACAACAACAAAAAACACCCTCATCAGTATATCAATCTCTGCATGAGCTACATAGTGCCATAAGGGTGAAGTGTTTCAGTTTCCATGCATGTGTCGAATAAGCTTTGGTAAGAATCCCTTGCCTCCCGTTTGGAAAACACGAGGAAGTGCTGCGATTGCTTATTTATGGTTATTAAAGCGTGGCGATCACATTAACTCCTCCACTCCTCCCTTCCTCTTGCTTATGAAAAATGTTAATTATTCAACAAGTAATGTTTGGAAAGGGATTACATTAACCCTGGAAACTTTATCTGTTCGTGGAACTTTAAGCTTCCGCACGGATTTTTTTTTTTTTTACAGAGCAACACAATTTTTCCCGACCCAAAGTGGAAACTATTGATTTTATTTCAAAACCTCTGTGTGAGCCTACAGAAGCATCAGGGGTTGACAGAACAATGTGCTGTAACATGGTAATGGAATGGAGACATGGCCCCCCCAAGGCAGGGCATCGAGCATGATATGAGATCATAAACCTTTCCTAATCCGAATATTTATTTATTTATTTATCCTGGAGTAATACGATGATCTATGAAGCTCTTTTACTGGTAGGAACCTCCTGGTTACACCAGCCCACAGGGGATTATTGTGTTCGTCGTGCAGGGAGGGGCTGGGTGGGGAGGGAGGGGCTGGGTGGGGAGGGAGGGGCTGGGTGGGGAGGGAGGGGCTGGGTGGGGAGGGGCTGGGTGGGGAGGGTGGGGTGGGGAGGGTGGGGCTGGGTGGGGAGGGGAGGGTGGGGATGGGTGGGGAAGGGGAGGGTGGTGAGGGGCTGGGTGGGGAGTGTGGGGAGGGGCTGGTCACCCCGTGGTGCCCTTATAAAACTCAACGTTTAACCTACTCACGCCGGCTTGTGCCCGCCCTCACAGTCGGCCATATTTGCGGAATACACCACGCCGCCGTTGACCCTACAGATGTCCATTCGGGGTGGGTCAGAACGTTGCAACAACAAACGATAGGAGTGCAAAGTATAGGAAAGGTAAGCAAATCACTAAAAATAAATCAACTGAAACCAAACGTTTTATTTTACCAGGTAAAGCCCACTGACCTGTTCTTCTTCAGAAGTGACCTGGCCACAAATGATAGCTCAACGAAGTGACTTACGTGGAATTTTATTGCAGCCAACTCATCTAAACGCATGTTTCTAAACGTGGACAAATAGCAACTCATGATGCTACAATTTAAAGGGACTCGAGAGAAATACTGACACTTACTAGCCATTATACCTGATTGTGCTATTGGCATCATGTCATAAGAGGAAGTATACATTCAGAGCTCTCCCAGGGTAGTGTGTCTACCCACCATGATGGAGAACAGCCAATGGAAATAGATATCACAGAGCTACCTCTGAACTGTATTAAAATTACCATTGTTCCGCACAGCATTTTCCCACCCTCTCTGCCATGCGAGATTTATATTCATCGCAGGACAGTGAAACTGACAGTGAAACTGAATTTTGCATTTTTGGAGCGAATTAAGTACAAATTGTTGGAATGTATTTGTATGCACTTATTGGTGAACAAGCTGAGATGATCAGCTCACTATAATTGAGAACCCAGTTTAATCATGATTTGGCTACCTGGAATCAAACCCATGCACTCAGTGTTGCCAGCCCAAATGCTCTGATCTCTGAGCCACCTGGCTATATCACTCAGACTGGCCTTTAAAAGGCTCACGCTCACGATGGTGTGAATGTTTTTTTTTTCTTTCCCCACGGCAGGCAGCGGCGGCTACAAGGGCCATGTGGACTTGCTGGCGCCGAGTGTGCAGGAGCTTGCCGCACTTGAGAGCGAAGCTCAGTTGTCTTTCCTGCAACTGGGGTTCCTTCCCAACCAGTCGTTCCGCGCCTTCTGAGCTAGTGAGCATCTTCATGCAACACCTAACGTATTCTCCGAATTATGAGATGCTCTGGCAAGTAAGACGCACCCCAAACTTGCGCCTGGTTTCATTCAAGTTTTACCAATCTAATCTCGCATACACACCTAGCAGATTATTAAAGATTCCCCGACTTTTTCTTTATATTACAGCGGGAAAAAGTGCATCTTATGTCGCAGAGAATATGTTACACTTAGGAACAAGATGTCCGGAAGTGTGTGTTAAAATTAATAAGGGTAAGCACAGTGGATAAAATTTGTGACAAAAAAACAATGTCATGCACTAAATTAGAGCTGTGATATTCACGAGTTGAGATTTTTTTTCCACAAATTCACACGGCACTTGTTCGTGGGTTGTTACTTTCAGAATGTGAAGTGCATTATGTGGATGAACTAAAAAGCCACAAGGGATTTGTAAACATCTTCTATTTTTTTCCCACCGCTAGGTAATGGCAGGCATTGTTCACTTTTAAGATGTACGACTGACTGCATTGTTTTGAGCCCAGCTGTGAATAAATCATAAAACACAACTACTGCATTTACTGTCATTACTAAAAGTGTGCATTATTTTGCTTTGACAGCAAATTTTACATTGCCTTTAAACCCTCAGGGCAGGAGAAATGTAACTGAGATTTATAATTCAAATCATTTGATTAAAACATTTAAACATCTAGTTTCTATTCCTATGGACATGTTGCCTCTTTTTCACGTGGTTTAGGTACAAAATCTGAAACCTAAAATATGCAGTCAAGTGTCAACAATTCAACACAAATGACTGATGGCAATAATAAATTGCCTAATCCTTGAATGGCCACGTGGCCATGGGGAAATTCTGTGTTTGTAAATTGGTAATCGTACATGTACTGTGTACAGCCCTTTTGCCAATGCACTGTTGGATGAGTGCCCCCCTCCCCATGCCTGTGTGGGGTTCTCATTGGGGTAATTTCAACCGTAACTCCACCACGCTGGTTAAATGCCGGTTCAAGGTGGGGAAGTATAAAACAGGACAACAATGGGTTTTGCACCACTGCTTTTTTTCTACCCACGGCACATGTTTCAACTGAACATATGTTTTTGTGAAAATGCATCGCAACCACTGACTTTCATGCCACGCAATGCTCGGTAATGCAGTTTGTGCACTTGTAAAGTACTGCACATGGTGGTGCTATATTCCCAGAAAAAACGTGTATGCTGTTGTGATTTTCCCTTCGGCTACCAACGCATAACAGTTGCATATTTTGAATTAAACAACACTGTGCTGCATTGCAAAGCAGATAAATTAACAAAATATAAAAAAACTATTGTACTAAAATGTTGCAGTTTCAAAATATATTTTGTTTCTATTACATACGGACCGAATTCTTTGGCAAGATGTTAACTTGCCTGTGCGTGCAACTCGTTTCTACAATAATCCATCGAGCTTTGAACCTGTTTCACCCAAACAATCCGAGAATAATTATGTAAGTTCACATCCCAATTGAGCGTGAACTTGGATTTAAACTCGGCACATCATAAACTCGGTAGTTTATAAAATTTGTACAACTTTGTGAGAAACAGGTTGTCCAATATATAGCTTGTCCCCTCCATCGGAATGCTATTTGTTCACCCATATTTCAGGACGGCCATCAGAGATGACCACCGCTGAATCGTCGTTTGAGTATGGAGGGGGGGACACCGGTAATTTGACGAACCTGATCTCGTGCTGTGATCAGCTGCATTTTTCCTCGCTGTTAAGTCAATTGAAGGAAGGAAGACAGAAAAAAACTACAGTAGCGACAATGACGAATACAGTATTTTGCTGTAGCGATGGAAGCAGCCCATAAAGACAGCTTCGCAGTGCCGCTGCGCAGGAGCTCCGAGTTGTAAATTGCGCCTCCTGCGCTAAGGGACACACGCATGTTACCACGTTTCCTGTTTTTCCACGGTTTTTCGCAGCAAAGAGGAAGTTGTTGAAAAGAGGCCACCGGCAAAGAGTGCATGCAGGCGTTCCACCTTCCAAACGGGGGGTGGTGGGGGCACTGACTATTTTGGACAGAGCTGGCATGGCAAAATAGGACCAGAGGCACTTAATTTACATACAAGTTCAGAGCCCTTTTGAAGCTCACTGTTGGATGAGGGTGGTCTTCCCATGCCATGTGGGTTGTGGGGGTTATTTCATCATACTTCATGCCATACCTCACCAGAATTAGCTCATTCGACTTATGTAATCTAAGTTACACCCCTTTATAAAGCCATTGCTCACCACCATGCTTTTGGTCATGGAGGTTGTTTGGCTAGACTTCACCACGCCGGTCAGTGCCAGTTGGTGATATGAGCACCCAGGACCAGTTCAGATATCACTCGTTATTGATATTAGCTGTGGCTGGGAATTAAACTCCGTTTGCCAGGGGGCTTACAACTGCGTCAGAGTAATGGGCAGTGCACATTCTTATTGGCCGTCCTCAGCCAGCAATGAAAGTTTCACGTAACCCGTTATCCAGAAAAAGAAAATACTAACACCACCAAGACTGGAGTCGTGTTCTAGATCATCTCGCTCAAGTTCCCTGGTCAATTTCTTCTGGAGAAATCAGTGTGGGGAAGGGAACCAGTGTACCTGGAGAAAACCCACACACGAGATGACACGAATCTTATCTAAGCAACAAGGTGTCTTCAACAGCAAATCTAAAGGAATCCCAACATGGAAAGATATCACTTCATGCAGCCCGTTTTTCACCCAGCTAAGAAGGCAGTGCAGATGGATCAGGAATCTAATAGCTGCAGTACTGCAACCTTAATATTCACCTTGTATCCTGGTACGGTGGGTGAGTCAAGGACTTGTGGTGGTGGGAGGGGGGGGGGGTTGCATTAGCAACACAGTTGTGTGCAAGCAGATGTTGAAGATGTCGCAGTTAAGGGTTTGAACACAATGCCTAGGAAGGAAAGGGGTGACTGTGGCTTAGTGGTGGTAAGTTTATCTCTGAGGCTCCCCTGCAGAATTTTCCATGTCCTCAAAGCGTCACATCCTCCACAGCTTAAAAAAGACAGGCTTTGTAATTTAATGTTCTATTGCAGACTCTCTCACTCGTCACGTCACAGTTAAATTCAATAGAACATTTATCGCTGTTCGCAATATTTCCCATGTCTCCCATGGAGACATTTGTCTAGATTGGCTTTCACTCAGTTTTAAACAACTTGTGGGTTTTTTTACGACACGCAGGCCTATAGAAGCCAGTATGGTACAGCAAGTAGGTTGTAGACCTATTTGGATATTTCGATGTGCCCTTCTTGTCATCAATGGATTTCTACTGGGCAAACTGGTTAGATGTGTTTTTTATTGCACGAAGTAGTACACTACACTAACTACAGGACGACCAGAGTTCAATTCCTGGCCAAAGCTAACATCGGTGGCAAGTGATATGAACTGGACATGTGGATGCCTTCCGGCCCAAACTCCACCCTTCACTTTGACCGGCATGGTGAAGTATGGTCAAACGACTCCCATTGACTAACATGACATGGGGAGACCATACAGCAATAACAAGACAATGGGCTATGAATGATCATTTATTATTTTTTACATTCCACAACCATTTTTACAAGTGTATTTTTTTTCTTCCAAAAAGAGGATAAGCAGTATTAATACGTTGTTATTCTGTTCTAAAATTGTGGTGATGATGATAATAATTTGCTTGCTTAGTACTAAAGAGAGGAAGTTGGGACAGTTATCTGAATGGTTGAGCACCTGTCTCTTTCGAGTAAATCCATCATCTCATTTGATGGGTCTGGTGACCACAATTACCACAACATCCTCACCCCAACAAACGGCAAGTGCAGAGTTCCTTTGTTAAAACATGATATGATTTCACCGTAAATGTAGCTACTCCTGAGTGTGGAATTAGCACATGCTAAGACTGAAAAAGATATTACAATTAAGCCAGACTTGCATTTAAGATATTTGCATGGAAGTATTATATCATCAAGAATAAAGATAAGCGAGGGATGATATGGCAGTGTATAACAGCGTGCATCAACACTCACGACACATCGTGATGCTTTCTAAGCTGCCGTTAAAGTCATGAATTACCACCAACTATCTTTTCAACTTGAATTCTGGCTCTCGGTGCCATCGCTTTATAGCAAGTGTCAGGATGCACACGAAGCCAAAGCGTTCGACCCAAGACGCATCAGCCCCTGTCCTCTCGTCGACCACACGGTCTGGAATGCGAACGATGTCAAATGGGCTGTGTCCAGTCACGAGGAACGGTCATTAACGTGCCTCTCGAATAGTGGCTCTAATGCATCCTGCATGTGTGCCGACGTGAGCTTTTCAGCTGCTTGATTGTGGATTTGAAACGCTTCGCCAGCTATGCCCTAAGAGCAACACGGCCTCACGGCTTGAAGTTCAAAGCGTCCACGGAGCGGGGTTCAAGTCCAAAGGTGGCAATTCGGCGCAATAAATCTCAACCGCTGGTTGAACAGACCCCACGAATGAATAACTCGCACTGCTTTCACGGACCCGGAGGCCAGCGTAACGGGTGCCGCGGCCGCATTTTAATCCGCCGATGGCTGTGTGAACACCCAGCCGGCTATGTTCTCAGCTCCGCTCGCCACCCATTTATTACCGTCCTGGCACTTTTCAATTAGCCATGACAATGCCCGCAACGCACGGGCGGGTGGTGGTGGTGGGGGGGGCGGATAAGGGACCCGCACGCCGGTGGCTCATAGGGGCCGCAGCCCACGGAGGGAGCCAGAGCCTGGGTGTTCCTGTAAACGGATCGGAATGCGTTGAAACGGCTTGATCCTTTTTTTCTTTCCCCGTGTGCGGTGTCCTTAACAGCTAGCTAACTGCAGAGATAAGCCTCGGCGTGATTTTACTGCACAGCGAGAGGTCGCGTGCACAATGGGTTTTTATATCTCGGGTTTGAAAGAGTAGTGCCCTAAAAAAGAAAAAAGATGCGAATTGTACCAAATATAAGTTTACAGTGGCTGATTTCGTGCGATGTTGCTGCGCAGGCACAACGCGGGTAAAAAAGCATGGGTAACCACTTTCCCTTTGATCCACCTAAAAGAGTCAGTAAAGCTTTAGGTTCTGTTTGCCCACTAAGATGGCATTGACCACCTTTGAACCATAAACCCATTTTACTGTCCTATAAAAGGGCCCGTCAAAAGATGGTCAACTGGAATACATTAGTCAAATATAGTAAAATGTTCAAACCGTGTGGTGGTTAAAGTACTTGCCCGATTCCAAACATTATGAAGACATAAGGGACACATTCATCTTGAAATCCCTTTACGCTTACGATGCTCCTTAAAGGACCACACAGACAACCGGTAAGCTTAATTGAAAAATAAACAAACAACGATCAAAAAGAAGAAGAAAAAAAACACCATTGCACATTAGAAAAATGTAAATAAACAAGAAGGACTTTGAAAACGCCACCCATTTTAATATCAGGCAGTCTTGCCTTATTGTCAAACGGAAATAAGCAGTTGTGTGTTGTTTTGGCTAGTTGCTGAAAAACAGTGTGATGAATTATTTTCCCCCTTTTCT